ATTTCATACAGGGTTGCTAATCATAGAGCTGTAAATGATTTGAAGCAGGACTGGTAGTCAGAAAGGAGTATGAACTCACATTTTGGGAAGGGTGAGGTAGGATGACTGTAGATTTTTGGCAGGAGACCACTTGAAGCACACAAGAAGTGGGCTGACCTAGATGCCTGATAAGAGGCTCAATGAAATGAAAAGTGGGTGGACTTGGAGAAGAACTGGGTGGATCTGATTGTTTTGGCACTTAGGTATTTGATGTTTGATTTCCAGGGCAGCAAAATTTTAATCACCTATTGTTCGTTATTGGTTGGTTTCTTGGTGGTATGACTCTCATCTCTCTTCCCAAGTGGGTGCTGGGATGTGTGGAGCACAGGAGAGGCTTCGTGCTGCAGGGAGGAAAGAAGTGTCCTGGGTGGCAGGTGCTCTGGAGGAACATTTCTGTGGAGGAGGTTGTGTGAAGGGAAATCTGAGGAGCAAAGTGAGGGAGGCTTTGTGGGCCGCTCCTTTGTTCACGGGGGGATGTTGAGGTTATGTGGTCTTGGGATGGAACCTCAGCATTCTTTGTGAACAAATTTGTTGCTGGGCTCCACTGGCAGTTAAAATGTCCAGCTTCTCTTGCTGATGCCTGTTACCAACTGTGCCCCTCTTCCTGCTGCTGCCCAGGCCTTGTGCTGCTCAAAAAGGCAGTGAAACTATGATACCATTAAGAGAATAAAAGCTGAGCAACGTGTCTTGCATTGAAGACATTGCCTCTAGCTTAGTTTATTCAGCTTTTTGAGGAGTAAAATACTTCATAGATGTATAAATAGTACCAAATGTATAATAGACATCAGCAGCTGGGTCTTGTATTTTTAAACAAGTTACACACATGTGTGCAGTTCCACCTATGGGAGAGTCTGTGCTTGTGTTTATTCAGGTATTGTATATAATACAATACCTGAATATATTGGCTATGATTACTGGGTGGAAATCTCTGTTGGTAGGAAGAGACAAAATACATTTCAGGATGGTATTTTTGAAACTCAAGATATAAAGCTAAGATAAATAATATGTGGCTGCTTTTTTGACAATCTAAAAAGCATCTTATGTTATGAAAGAGACCTAAAATTCATGAAACCCACCATAATTCCTTTCCTGTTGTTTTCTTACATTGGTGTTTGTGCTTTGAGAATTCAACTGTATCTCAGTAGTAAATCTAAAATAACTCATCACTGGGAACAGTCCTTCTAGGATTACAGCTGTACAACTATTCCTTGACTCTTGCACTACATCTTCAAGTTCCTAGAAACCTTTTGTGTATTTACCTTTAGCCTGTGTTAGGTAATCAGGGGAGCTTGCAGGACACAAAGACTGATGGAGCATATATGATTCCTATCTATGAACCCAGGCGCCATTATTACCATTAGACTTTTCTGCCAACATACTTTGCTTATCAGTTATACTTCTGTTGCTCAGTCCTGTTCCTCCTTTGTGTCCTTCCTCCCATTTCATCAGAGAAGAGGCAGCTTCAACTCCACCAGATGATGGGAGGAGAGGAAGAGAGGTGCACAACTCTACAGGATCATGCTCTGACCACTTGACGTGAGGCAGAGCTTTCTTCCTGTGCAGTGACCAAGTACTGAACAGTTTGTCCAGAGAGGGTGTGGAGTGTCCTCTCTGGAGATCTTCCAGAGCTGCCTGGGCACAATCCTGTGCTCTGGGGTGGCCCTGCTGGAGCAGAGAGATGGGACCAGCTGCCTGCCCCACTGTGGCTCCTCCCACCCTGACCCATCCTGGGTGATTTTGTTATGATAGCAGAGAGTTGAAACTGCCTTTACTTCCCCCCTGCCTCTGTGGAGAGGCACACCTTATCTCCTAGGCATTGCTTCAGGTAGCTCCAATTCTTGTTTAATGAGCCTTTGTACACTGTAGCTGTGTACACTTCTGTACATGTGAGGCCTTAATGGCTTAAACACCTGCTGGTCTGTGAGGTTGGCTGCCTGTGGCACAATGATGAGGAACTGCCCTTGCTAGCCCTGCAGTGAGTGGAAAAACTTCCCCTGGCTTCAGTGGGAGAATGCCTGGGCATCTGTGACAAGCAATCCCATGAGCATTGTTGCTTTCAGCCCCTAATTCTGCAATTACTGAATACAAAGGGCCATGCATAAAGTCCAGGGGTGTAATTACTGTTTTGACTTTCCTGATGATTTATCTTAGGCTATACCAAGGAACTGTACAGCTTAATTACAGCAGTTACGTGGAGGGATTGTGCAAACCCCAGGTATTTATTGTGTTCAGGGGAGAACTGGCTCAGCTAGAGATCATTTCATGCATGTGCAGGGATATCCTTTGTCATTTATGTACTGCCAATGTATGGAAAACTGAAATGCAGTTGTGTTGTATGTGTCAGGTGCTGAATGACAGCAGAGAGCACAAAGCAGTATTGTCTGTGGTCCAGCTGAGGAATTAAACCCCTTGAAGTTTGTTAAAGCTTCTCTGATAGTACCATGGTTAAGTGGCTTGAATATTTGCACCATAATTTGGATCAGTGTTTACATAGCTTGCACATTTTATGGTATAATACAATAAATTCTGCCTTTATCTGAAAAGCCTAGTCTGGTGCACTTTGGCCTCCTATTCAAACCTACAAGCAAGTGATCTTAAAACCTGCTGTGGTGTGGTCTGACAGTCACTGCAGGTGCCCAGGACCTTTTGCAGCCAAGCTTCTTGTTTGGTTTCACTCATCTCAAATGGATTTGTTAGCAGGTTACAAAGGTTTTGAATTGCTGCTTGTTTAACGCAGCCACCTCGCAGGTGTCAGTAACAAACCATCAGCTGCTTTTGGCTCGCTATAAAAGTGGGATTTGAATATTTTAAATTGTGTGTCAGAGGAAGTGGTCTGTGTTTGAAGAGCCTCTTGTGTTCCCCTCCACAGAGCGGGCTGAAGTCTTGCATCATGTGGAATGTGCAGCTCAGCTCTCCCTACGGTACTGTAACAAGCACCTCCAGAGTAAACAAGGAGCTGTTAGCCTCCCTGAAGGTCATGCAGCTGGAATACAGGATCAATGGCATTATGGGCAAATGCTGGGGATTAAATTGTTAATTTAGTAACTGCTGAATAAACAAAGCAATACTTTCCTGAGATTTTTGTTCTGTGTTATAAGAAACAAAGACGTGAGAAGCTGGGGTGCTGAGCAAGGGCTTAGGAGGTGATGTTCCTGCTCTGTCATGCCACTGCCCTGACACATGTCAATCAACCTTTCTGTGCTCTGATTTTGTGTCCATTGGATGGGAGCAGCACCAGCTCCTTTTTCCTTTGTCTTCTCTGATGTCTTTGGTTCCTGAATGCTGCCCAACTCATTTATGGTCCTTATCTTTGTGCCTTTAGAGAATGGTGAGCAGCAAGTGATTGGTATTAATTGTTGGATGTCTGTTCTCTGCAAGGCCAGTGTGTTTGAGCACTGCAGCTGGCTGGCTCAGAGAGTGTGCAGGATCTCATTTGTTTGGCTCAGCACCAACACCTTGTTTTCTATCTGGCTTTTGCTACAGTAACATGCCATGGTGAAAGTTTTGCATTTCACCCACAGTTGTTGTCATGAGGGTGTACAAGTTGTCACCAAAGAACACAGGAGATTCCTTGTGAGTTATGGTTGACTTTTCAATATGCCTCCATCCTGACAGTGCTGAAGGTCAAATCTTATGGGTTCTTCCTTAAAAACCTTCCAGGGATTTTGTTGAGAGTGAGAAGTACTCCTTGGCATAAAAACCCTTTGGCAAAGCTCCTGTTTAAGGTAATCCTTTCCAGTCAGTTACTCCAGGTTTTAGGTGCTGTTTACAGGAAGATTTGGCCTATTAGAACATGGACAGAATGCAGGATGCCTGCAAGACTCTTCCTGAGTCCTGCTTTCCAAACCTCACTCTGTTCTTTTTAAGCCTGGCCTAACCTAGACTGTGAAGAACACAACTCCCTAAGGCCCCCTGCTCACTCCTGAAGCTGTTTCTTCAATTCCCCCTTCCTCACTGACACCACATGTTTGCATCCAAGTCTGTAATGAGATTGGAACTGCTGACTTCCAAAATTCTTCGTCATTTTTGCTTCTGGGAGCTGCAGCTACAGTGGAGACTTTGTCATCTTGCTAGAGGTAGAAAACTCACAGGTGTGCTGGGGGATTGGCCTCGCTGTGCTTGTGGCTGGAGGCAAAGCTTCCACCAACTTGAGTCAAAGCTGAATGCATCTATTGTGTAACTTGGCTGAAGCCAATTTGTGCTTTTTATTTCAATTTCCAACAAAAATACTGCTAAGAATGTTGCTGTGAAGTGGCAGGGCAGTAGTGTGTCCTTAAACATGATTTTCCTGAATAATTGTTTGAAATGGGCAAATTATTTACAGGATGCTTCCTGAAAGGAAGCTGAATTTATGTCTAGGAAGTTCTGAGATAAGTTTAACAATTCATATTTTAAATTTTATTGTTTATTTAACTTCTAAAATATTGCAAGAAATATATTTGATTTGTCATCTAAATTTTCTGCTGTGGATTAAAGACATGCTTATTCATTTTAGCACAGGAAAATGTGGTCTTGGGAGTTTTGATCACAGCTGAATCTTAATTCCACATGCCTCCTCAGAGGAAAAAAATGGGAAATGGTGAAGAAGAAAATCTGACAGCTGCAGAGAAAAAAAAACCTGTTTCTGATTGAGGGTTAATGGCTCAGATGAAGGAAAACATAAATTTTACATGGAACATCAATGTATTTGGTGTGACAAAAGGGATTTTAACTGGATTTAAATGAAGTGGGATCTGAAACACAGACCATAATTTAGTGCTGTAGAAGAAATCCCTCTCTGGAAGGAAAATGTAGACTTTCTTGGTTATGCTTAGTAACTGAATAACAGAATTTCTGAGGTATTTTTTCTGTTACACTGGAAAATGTGGAAGCTTTTGGATCTGTGGTGTGGCAGGCGTGTCTGTGCATTTATAAACATTGATGGCATGTTTTAGTGAGTGTGATAACTTTTGTTTTTCTAGGCTGGTGGATGACCGGTGTGTGGTCCAGCCAGAGGCCGGTGACCTTGCCAATCCTCCAAAGAAGTTCCGAGGTCAGTAACTGGGGATCATTTCTCTTCCATGAACAACTGATGCTGTTCTACCTCCTTGGGCACTTTTACCATGGGACTTCCCAGAGGATTTGTGGACCCAGGGACTGAGTTTCAAACTGGAACATGAATGGCAGATTTTGAGAATGAATTACAAAATTTTCAAAAGCACAAGAGGCAGTAGAAAATATGGGGAAAGGGACTGAATTTTCCTGCAGTCCAAGAGTTACTTGCTTTGTTCTGCACATTGAACAATGATCCCCTGCTCTGTGACAAACTCTTTGCTCCAGCCTTGCTCTCACTGTAAATGGGAAAGACACTTGTGAGGTCCAAAGCTACTTGAGCTGATGAATTGTTTATTTTCTTTTCAAGATAAGATACCATTTTAAGGAGTACCCCCAAATATTTTGTCAGCTTTTTGTTTTGCTTTTGCTTAAAACAGTATTATTTTTTTCAACTTGACCTTGTAGATTTGGATAATTCTGCTGTTTTGCTTATTGGAAAAAAATAACAATGTGCTGACAACTTCTAGTTTTTACTTCTTGACTGCTAAAAAAGTACTCATAGCTGTGCCAGAGCAGAGCCTGATCCAGGCCTCTTTTGGCTTAAAAGGGCTTGGATTCACACTGGTTCTGAGATAAAGAGAGCATGACTTCCCTGATTTAGAGCAAGGGAAATGTGTTTCATGGCTGTTTGTATTTATTTTGAATGATCTTTAAGGTCCCTTCCAACCCAAACCATTCTATGATTGTCAGGGGTTCCGCTGACATCCTACCCTTAATATTTTATTTGCAGTGTTTATGTATATGCTACTATTGCAAAAAATAAAGCATTTAAAACATCAGGAGAGTGAAGTTCTGCTTTCCCAGAGAGTTCAAGACTTTTTTCCATTATATATTCAGGAAACATCAGCAGTTGGTTCCAGTTCCAGCTGTGAGCGTTCAGCACGCTGGCTGAAAGTGAGGATGCATACTTAGAAACTAACAAACAGTAATAAATTTCAGTCCCTGGTGTGACTGAATAACTTTAAAGCAGAGCTGAGGGTAGCATCCAGTGTGGCTTTCAGGCTGCATAACTGTGATTTCACCCCCTCACTGGCTGCAAGCGACTCACAGTTTCCAGGTTGCACAAAATATCAGGTGGGGATTCTTTGGATGATATTTCTGTCACTGGACTACCCTGATGTGTTTCTAAAGTTGACCATATCCATGTTTCTAGATGAGACCAAGGTCACTGGGGAAGATTTGTGATAGGATAATTGAATACACCCAAATGCCTACAACTAGGGATCTCAAAAAGACAGCCATAATTTTTTCACTGTCTAGTGTTTGAGGGCTTGATTTTATAACTTCAGCACATTAAAGTTATTTTCTTGCAGCTCTGTGTTGTTCATTTCTAACTTCAAAAGGCAAAGAAAGAAAAAGTTGTTAAGTTTCTGTGTTGATGATTTGGGCACTTTGATGCAGGGTGGAAGCTGATTGAGCTCCCAGCATCGATGATTTGCCATCAGTGGTGGCAGCACATGTGGAGCAGATGTCAGAGGGGGATGGCACACTGACAAATGTACAGCTGTTTTCTGCTGCTGGGGAAACCAAGGTCCTTCCTCTTGAATTACATCCCAGCTTCTGTAGGGGAGTGGTTTCCATTGGTTGTGGACAGTTTTGGCTCTGTCCCTTATTGTAACCTCTGTCTATTGCTTGCATAACACATCCCTTTATCTCCAGTTGCCTCTGCTCCCTCTTCTCCACAGCATCAAACCTTTCATTTCCTCTAACTCAGATCCTCCTCTTTTTGGGGATTCCCTCTTCTCTCTCTCCCTCCTTGCCCCAAAACTTTTTAGTAGCTACTCTGCTCCTGCCTGCTGCTGCTTAGCTCCTTTTGCAGTCTTTCTTCCAGTCACTCATTAGCTCTCTCTTCTTTATAGTGCTCCATAGCCTAATTTTGGGACTGCTGACATGGTGGTAGCATGCAAATTTGGATGAGCTGCAACACAGAATGATTTGGATTGGAAGGCACCTTAAAGCCCCTCTCATTCCAACCTCCTGCCATGAGCAGGAACACCTTGCACTATCCCAGGCTGTTCAGAGCCCCATCCAGCCTGGCCTTGGGCACTTCCAGGGGTGGGGCAGCCACAGCTTCTCTGGGCAACCTGTGCCAGGGCCTCACCACCCTCACAGGGCACAATTTCTTCCTTATACTCAATCTAAATGTAGCCTTTTTCAGTTTGAAACCATTCCCCCTTGTCCTGACACTCCAGGTCCTTTTAAAAAGTCATTCTCCATCCAGCTTTCTTGTAAGCCCCCTGAAGGTACTGATAGGTGCTATAAGGTCTCTAACACCTGTAGGAAAGAGAAACTAAATTAGTGAAAATATAATTGTTGCATTAATTTATGCAACCCACCTTTCTATAAAAGCATGGATATAGTGCTAGGGACATTAAATATCACATCAGCTTCAAGTATCCATAAGCAGTGTGTGTTCAGGAGGATGCCTGCAGGAAAGATAAACCTATCATTTGGATGTTTTCTCCTTCATCCTTTAAGTCAAATTCCAAGTGTGAGAATAGCAGGAGCTTTGCTGAGAGCCCAGCAGAAACTTGCTGTCTAATTGACATTTAGTGCCTTGAACCTCAGAGGTGTCTCTGTCATGAGAGCAACCAGAAGCACATCTCTGCGATGCTTTACTAAATTTCTTAGCTCTGTTTAGAGCCCTGAGGCAAAAAAGTTTCTAAATATTGCTCTTATAATCAAGAATCTAAGCAAAATCCATATTTTTCTCCCCAAGAATCTTCTGGGAAATAGCTTTAAATTAAAGCAGTAAAGTTAACAAACCAAACAAAAACTGCTTTAAGTAGGTTCTTAACATGAAAGGAAGACTTAGGCATGAATGATTAATTCTGAAAATAACATCTAAGAGCAGGGTGAGTAGGGCCTCTTCACTAATAGGAACTGCTGTCTGTATGGTTTACAATGTTTTTATCACTGATAGCTGAACTGGCGTTGATTTAAGGTTAGAGCACGACCTGGGAGTCAAAGAAGTATGAGAAAAACATGTTTCTAACAAGATGTTTAGATTTCAAGTACTGACTCTGAAAATTAATATCAGAGAGGACTGTGTTTGCTCTTTTTTGGTAATATTTTATCAGCCCTTTCCCCAGTGGGAGGGACAAAAAAGAAAGATTGTGGTTTTGACTTGTATCTCCCCTCCAGGGTTCACTCAGAGATCAAATCAAGGTACTGAGCTGTTGGCCTGAACTGAAAGCCTATGTAAAGAGGTGTCCCAAAATAGCAGTTTCATTTTTGTTATGTGTTTACTTTCTTTTTTTTTTTTGAGTGGGTGGTTGCTATTCTGGTTGTTTCAGAACATCCTGCAGTGTGGAGAGTTGTTAAGCTAAGGAAAGATGTGGTTGCTTCTCATTTTGTGTCCATATGAAGAAGCTGTACTCCCCATTCCTCCCCCAGTCACAATGGGATGAACCTGGAGTGGCTCTGTGTTCACCAGGGTGCACATCCAGATTTGCATCAGTGCAAAGGAGGGTGGAATTTGGTCCCACATGTTCCTGAAGCCTGGTGAAAAAACCCCACAGAACATTCACTGTATTGCATTGAAGGGACTGATCAAACCAGGTGCTTCATGTCTTAATTCCAGCTGAAGCTGGTGAGATCCAAAGCACTGAGTGTGGTGATGGAAATGCTTACTGTGCTGCAGGGCTGGGTTCACAGAGGTTGGCAAGAACAGCGTGTGCCAGGAGTTGTGTGCCTCTGAAGAAAAGCCACATCATGAGCCACACAACTGCAGGTTTCCTTAGTCTGGGACCCCAAACACTCCAGCTTGATGCTCCTATCTCCAGTGGGAAACACTTTCAGCTTCCAAGGTGTAATATAGCACAGATGAGACCGGATTGTTGATCAAGGAAAAGGAGCATGAGTCTCATTCCTATTTTAAATGTAAAATTACTTAAGTTTTTAAACTGGTCTAAACTTTCTTACTTGTAACTTGTATTACTTTGATTTCTTGAGGCTTCTGCAGTGAAAGTGATGCTGGTTCCTAAATACCTTGCTTTGCCTTTCAGGTTTTAGTCTGATCTAAGGTTTTTCTTATTTTTTCTTCTCTCCCTTCCATTACCTTTCTTTGCACTCTCTCCTTTCCTCTTCCATCTGCCATTTTTCTTTTTACTTGCCCTCTACGTAATTTTTGTTTATCCTTTTATTTTCTTCTTGTTTCTTCCAGTTCCATAATTGCTTTAATTTCCTTCTCTTTCTTGTTGTCCTGCCTAGGAAACTTTGTTGCCCCACTCATCCATGTTTTTCCCTTTTCATTTTCACATTTTCTTTTTTACCTTTTTGTCCATTTTTTTTGCCCAAAGCAAGTAGATTTGTACACTCTGTGATTTTATAGCCCTGTCACTTTCACTTACCTATTTCTCTGGTTTTAGTAAAGCCATGTGATAATTTCTCTAGTTCTGCAAACCAAAGAAATCTTCCATGATGGATAAGAGTTGAATTTCTAACACTTAAAAAAAAAAAACAAACCCAAGAGAGGGCAGGGAGAGAAAGCATCTGACAAATACTGTTCTAAACCATCTTCATCCAATATCAAGAAATATTTAAAGGGCATAATAGGAGTTATTTTCCTTTTCAGACTTCCTGAGTGAAAGTGCTATTTGCTTACCTTTGATATTCTCTCCTTAAATGTTTCTCTTCCTGAGGACTAATTATGTAAAACTCCATAAAGTAATGGATTGGGAACTAGGACTACCTGGGAATGTCTGGAGAAGTTAGAAGAGACATTCTGTCTCATGAGTGGGTTGCTAGACTGACCTCCAGGAGGGAATGGCTTTTTGATCTGCTGTGTGGTGGAAAGTTGCTTTATAATCTTATGCCTCAGTTTCTCTTTTTTTTCCTGTTTATTTGAACTGTAGCATCTCTAGGGCAGGCACTGTTCCACCTCCTTACAATGTTTAGGATCATGAAGCTTGAATTTACATAGTTTTGTTACTCTGATTAAAAAAAAAAAGAAAAAAAACCCCACAGAAAAATAATGAGATGGCCTGGTTTCAATGCATCTGGAATCCTAAAAAGTAAAATAAAATAGGAAAAAAAGCTTGTTTGGGAACAAATAATACGATTTTTTAGTCTATAAATTGAGGGAAATACAATTGAAGTAATACTGATTTGGAAAAGTGGTAGCACCGTGCTCTGAGGCTCTGCAGGATGGGAAGCACTGTGTTTACTCCAAGTAGCAGGATGTGTGGGGAGTAACTGAGAAATGAAGACTGGTGCTATTAAAAGAAGGTATTGTTACTTCAGAGAAATAAATGTTTCATGAAGCCTTCTGAGAAGGCATGTTAATTATAGATTGTGACAGAAAATAATAGCAGACTTTTGTCTTATGAGCCGAAATCCTGATACTTCAGGTAAAATATCCTACAATATACAGTACAATTTAATGGCACACAACACTTTGGGGTTTTTTCACCTTCTTGGTTTCCAGAATATTGTAAAAGTTACCTGGGAGTTTTGTACTCTAGGTTGTGTGATATCATTCCCATTATAAATGTTAAATGAGAGCAAACACCTTTGCAGAGTGGCTGGGTCTGCTTTGATAAGGATCTGTAGGACTTTTTCCTTGGAACAGCAACTCAGGGCTGTGTGTGTGGGGGGGTAAATCCGTGAGTACTTTGGGTCAGTGCCAAGGAAGGTTCTGCCACTGGGGGCAATTTTTATGGACAAACTTTGCTGCTTGAATAGGGGCTGGGTCAGTCCTCATCCAGTGCTTGGCCATCTGTGCCAGTGAAATATGGAGGGCTCATAGCTGGGGACAGACCTTCCTTTGACATCCACAGACTGCAGCCCATGCTGGGGAAGAATTTCACCCTACAACACCCAGTCCTGAGTGTCGTTGCTACTCCCACAGCAGAACTCTTCCCTCTTCTTTCCTGTTAATAAATGTGCGTGTGAGAGGACAATTACCAACGTTTGCTACGTGAAATGTCTTTCAAGTCTCGCTGCTTTTAGAGCAGTTGATGATTGTGACTGTGCAAGACTGGATGTTGTTTATCATTCTAAAAGTAATTGGCTTTAGATGAATCATGAGGCTCTATTTCCAGTTTATAGGACTGCCACTGGACAAAACCCCTTGAGTCAGGGAATTTTACAAAATTCAGTTTCTTGCCAATGAACATTAACTTTCAATTATTGATTACAGTTTTGGGAAATAAAGATGAACAATTGAACAAGCATTTAGGGAAGAACCCCTTGGCTTCGTTCCAGACATCTCTCCCCTTCTTTGATATGCAGCCCCCTCACTCCACAGGGGGAGGTGGTTGGGATGGGATGAGGGTTGGTGTATTGATATTCTCTTTCCTTTGCTGCTCATTTCTTATTTGGCATCTCAGCACTGGCTGCAGTCTCCTTCTCCTTCTCCTTCTCCTCATCCTTTTCTCTCATTTGCACGGCCACACTGCTCAGGTGGCTCCTCTCTCCTCACCTGCTTTTTTCCTGGTCTTTTGGACAGTGGTGATGTTCAGCTTGTGTCATTTAGATTAAAAAACCCTGACAGTAAAAACAACTCAGTGAAGGCAGAGAGACCCAAACTCTGTGTGGACCTGCTTGGTGGCTGGCTGCTGAATGCCCCAGCCACCCTTGGATTCAGCAGTGCCAGGAGGAGCTGGGCAAGCCAGGTGTGTGGCATACAGACAGCAGGACCACTCTTCCAAGGTTTCACGTGCCTTCAAACACTGCATCTGTGATGTTGGGCTGCTAGTAAAGCAGCAGGCAGATATGGCAGGATCACAGCCTAGGCCTCTTACAGAGATTGCACAAAGTGGGAACATGTGAGGCCTTAAAGGCTTTCGGTTCAACTCTAATGTTGTGCCACCCTGTTTCGGGTATCATTGCCACCAAGCTGACCTGGTGGCTGTGTTTAAACACTGGTATCTGGACGTTTCTGGACAAAAACCCCTAACCAACACATACTTACAAATGAAGGAAATGTCTTTCAGCATGACTCAGGAGTATTTCTTTCACTCTTTCCCCAGACTGCCTTTTCAAGGTGTGTCCTATGAACAGATATTCAGCCCAGAAGCAGTACTGGAAAGCCAAGCAAGCCAAACAAGGAAACCATACTGAAGCAGCACTGCTGAAGAAACTTCAAGTAAGAGACATCTGTATTTGTAATCTTATCTCAATCTGCAGGCTGTAGAATTACAATAGCACCAGAAAGAATAATAACAAGTGCCTTGGGAACCACTGTGATTGGTATTATTATGCCACCATAGCAACTCTATATTCTCCTTAGCTCTCCTACCTCCTGACTGGCATTTATAGCCCCCGACCTGGTGTTTATCTTACTTTGGGCTGGGGGTTTTGCCTGTTTTGCCTTTGCTGTAAGCAAGGTAGTGCTTTCAGAAATTTTATAATGTGAAAATGGAGTTGTTAAAATCAGGATGGAGCCCTGGTTTAAGTAATACTGGAAATCCTTACCAGGAATTAGGCAAAGAGTGGACAAAGAGATGTCCTCAATGCTTTAGCCAGGGAATTCCTCAAAATTGTGTTTGTCCTTGCCTTCAGTCTAAGTGATTCTTTTGTGAACCTTTTTACAGTCTTTATTTTGTCTCCAACACAGTGTGGATGGAACAAGTCACCTGTATCTGAAAAACAGCTGGCCTGATGTTGTAACTGAATGCATGAGATTAAGTGAAAACAAGGTCCTGTCAAACCTGGATGACAGTTTTGTGGGCAGTGGGGAAGTCACCAGTGCTTCCAGTTAAAAACAGCAAGGAAGGCATGTGGTGTGTGGCCAGAGTTACACAGCAATTAGTGCTGGGAGTGGAGAGTTTGCTCTGGGGCTGTATTTGACCCAGTCTATTGTGTTTAATTTTAATGTTGCCTATTGTAAGCTAATGTTTTTGTTTTGTTGTAAAGTCTATGTGTTTATGTACAATTAAACCCCAACAAGTAAAAGGAGTAGTGACAGGGAGAAGCTAATCATAGGCACCTTTTTATCCTCTATAGGATGAAATAAAGCCCCTGACATTACGTTTTGGGCTTGAAAAAATTTTAAAATAGCATGCATCTCAGGTGTGACCAATAAATTGTGACAGAGTTCCTATTTTGGGTAGTAAAAAAGTCAGAATCAGCATCAGGATTTGGGTGCTAATATTTCCAGTGCAGTAATGCTTGTAGGTTTCAGGATTTAAATATGGTGCCATTTCCTTTCTGCACTGTATGTTCCAGGTACTTCTTTTGTAGAGTCTAAAGAAATGGTCATTCTCTTGCAGCATGCAGCAGAACTGGAACAAAAGCAGAATGAAAGCGAGAACAGAAAGCTGTTGGGTGAAATTGTAAAATACAGCAACGTCATCCAGGTAAACCTATTGAAATCCATCTGCCTTCTCACTGTTGGAAAGGAAACAGTTGTTTCATTTCAAGGTTACAGTGAAAATTAACTGTCTACCCATTGTAATCTGGATTGTCAAGGGTCGGGTAAACAGAACTTGGTGAAGTTTACAATATTGTGCTTTTCTGCCTGTTTCAAAGCCTACCAGAAGTGTTGCATATTCCTGTTTAAATAATTTGTCATTATAAAAATTCTATGTGTATTTCTTGGTGCTGCAGTTTAGAATCTGAACGTAAATATGTCTTTTATTTTCAAGAGTTATTTTAAAATCATGCTGTAGAGGTGCTGTGCAGCTCCTTTTAAATCATTGTAGTAATCTGTATCTCATGACATATAAATGAGACAGGAGCTAAGTTCTTAAGGGCAGTACAACTTTTCTGTAATGGATGTAATTCCTGAAGGGAGAACTGCAATGGACACTTGCCCTGCTGTAAAATTGATCCCTGACACATTTCTCACAATCCGAGATAGATCATCTGTTTTCCTAAACTGTAACATACTTTGATAACTACCTTCTAGTTAGTTATATTTTATATCTGTATTTATATTTGAAAATCTCTGCAGTGTGAAAGTTTGTGCCTCCTCTTTTGACTGGAGGGAGAAAAAGCAACTAAAAGTTGTACTTTTTTTTAAAATTTATTTTTGTTCCCAGCTACTGCACATAAAAAGCAACAAATACCTCACAGTCAACAAGAGATTGCCAGCTCTGCTAGAGAAGAATGCTATGCGGGTGTCCCTGGATGCTGCAGGGAATGAGGGCTCCTGGTTTTATATCCAGCCCTTCTGGAAACTGAGGAGTGAAGGTGACAATGTAAGTGGAAATGCTGAATGTGTTGAGAAGGGAGAAGAATTCCAGGAGGTATAACTTCTTCACTGCTGGCCTGTTTCATAATGGATTCATTCAGGAAAGAAGCAATTAGAAGAGTAATTGGGACTTTGACCTTTCATGTGTAACTGGAAAGTGTTACTTAATTATATGGTCTGAAATCTCTTGTGTTGCCACGTTCAAGCCTCTCTGTTGGGGCATCTTTGCTAAGTCTACCTGTTGAGTGCAGATTTACAAAGCTGACAAGAAATCATAGTTTATGCTAGAGTCTTATTTTTTTTTAAGAGTTTTTAAAAAATTTTTGTGGCAATATTTTTTTCAAGGGGTCAGTAGAGAATGTCTCTAGGAAATACATCAGTTTCTTTAAATCTGTATTCCCTTCTGATGTGACAATAGTATCTATGATTGGAGCTGGGTAGAATAGTCTGGAAAGCCTTTTCTGGGTAGGTTTCTGCAAGACTCAGCTGGAGTCTTGCATATTGATGAGAGGAAGAATGCACAGGAGAGCTCTTTGCTGCAGATCTGAGAACTGTGCTGTGAGATCACAACTCCCTTCTTCATTCTGTGGCTTGGTTAAGTGCCTGATGTGGAGAATTCAGATCTGCCTCTGGGAAGGCCACACGATGATGAGCTTGTGTGGTTTTTCCCAGACCTGGCTGGGAATGTTTGGCTGTTTTCCCCTGTGCATAATCAGTGAAAGCCTTCTTAGGGTTGTAGAAGGGAATGGCTTTTTTTTTGTGTATTTTCTCTCCTTCATTTTGTGGTTACCCAGCGCTTGGGATGCTCTCCAGGATGATGAGTGTGGTTGCTTGCAATCCCTTTTGCAATCTGTTGTGGAGAGGAGAAGGATTGCATTCCCAGCTCCTGGCCAAATATCCCTAGAGTCAGAGTCTTTCCCTGCTTCATGTAGTGATCAAAAGGGTATTTGAAAATCCTCCTTTTTCCCAAAGCCTGTTGCAGAGAAATAGAGCAAATATATCCCTCAGGGGGGACCTCTGCATGGGTTTTCAGCTGAGGAGAACAAATGTGGCTCAAACATTAGCCTGGTATTTCTTTCCCTTCTTTGGAGAGAATAAAGGGTGACTTCTTGTTTTGGCTTAATTTCTTGCAATAACATCAGTTCAGCATCTTTTTAAACTTCTTATGCCTGTAATGAAAATAAGTATGTGTGTCATGCTCTCCAGAGGGAGGACCTGGCATTCCCACTTGTCATCTGCAATGCCACAGTGGGCCCTTACAGCTGAGAGCAGCAGAACCATCCTTGGCCTTCAAAGTCATTCCCAGTACTACAGAGGTTTTGGTTCCATTTTCCATTGTTATGCACACATGAGGCTTTGGAAGCAGACTTGCTCATCTACAAGGATTGCAGATCAGTGCAGTGATGGCAGTGCCATCCCATGCCACAAACCCCTTTCCCAGTCCATTTCTGTGGGGATTTATCTGACAGGCTCTGAGCTGTGAGGGCCATGTGGCAGACTGGTTTATTCCTAACTCAATGGACTCAGTTCCTTTGGAATGGCCTGCTGCTCATTTTCTGTTTCCAGGTTGTCTTTCAGAGCTGGCAACTTGCCATTGTAATTTACAGAGGGAATTTACAAAGGGTAGTTGTTTCTTGTTTCTACTAGGCCCAAAAGGATTTGACAATTTTCTTTGCAAATTTCCAGTGATAAACATTAGTGCTTTGGTAGCTGTCTCTGCTTTTGTGCATTTCTACCTCTTCCAACAGCTACACAAACCAGGCAGCTGTTTCACAGAGGACAGGAGTAGCCAGTGATGGGGGAAGTCCTCATTTTTCTCTCACAGATGAAGGAGGCTTCAGCCTTGTACCCACTGCTTCCTTTTCAGTTACTCCCAGTCATGGAAACCTTTGAATTCATGGAGTTAGCTTGGTATATCAAGCCCCTACTCTGTTTAGAAACTTTGGGATTTTTAAAATTATATTCCTGTGCTATAATGAGGAAATTCCCTAGAAAGCACGTTTTAGGAAGTCTTTTATGCAAGAGAAGTGAGTATTGAATTACTGCTTGGATGGCTGCTACTGTGCCGGGTAATGCAGGCAAGGTATGCCATATGTCCTAAAAGAAAGGGAATCTGGGAATCTGATACAGAAAGTCATGTGTGTGACTCTTCTGGTAAGTGATCAGAGATTTTTAGCCTTGTGAAATATTTTAGAACTTTATTTTCTAAAAGAAGATTAGCTTAGTTTCACTAGCAACTGATTAATTTTTCAAGTCAATGAAAGTAATTAAAGAATATGATGGAAAATTTACAGTAATCAACATAACTACAGTATTTTCTGCAGGCTTTTATTAAGTCTTCATCATTTTTGAAGCTGCTCTTCAATGGAAGATAGGACTGATTAAGGCTAGAGCTGGTTCCAGATGGACTGAACAACAAAATACTCCCCGATAGCAGGATTGGTGCTGTGTGGATTAGACTGCAGTTATTTGCCATTTTAGTGTTTTTGTTTTTTTTCTTTTTAAATAAGATGCTTAATGATGTGCTGTCTTACTGATTTAGTTGTGATAGTCCTGGTGTACATGCAACAATTTTGAAGTCCTGATTCCACTTTGCAGGATGCAAACCTGGTGGTATTTTGCTTAATGAATTGTCTGGTCATAACTTCTTAAAACAGGCTGTAAGTAATGTCTGTGTGAAGCATGGCATGCAGGAGTGTATTGCATAAGGAATGTGTCTTATAGGCATCTTGTCATTATTTTGATTCTGTTAGTGAACTTGTTCCCATGCCTTGGATCAAGTAGGATTTTTCTGTGTGTGATCTGAGCATGGTGAACTGTCTTATGCTACTGTTTATTTTGGCTGTGTTGGTAAAGAACAGGCAAACCTTCCTTTTCACCTCTGCAATGAGGGGGCCAAATTCACCTGCATTGAAGTTGCACAAGGCTGAACTGGGCTCAGCTTTTTCATAGGAAATGTGCTGATCAATGCAGAAAGTGTTTTTATTTCTTTGTCTTCCAAGAGAAAGCATGGCTTGTGCAGCATTTAATGTAGAAAAAAATCACATGTAGCCACTTGTCTTCATGTCTGAGTGTGCTCAAAATTGCTGTGAAGAACATAAGCAAATCAGGATCCAGTGCCAACCAATCTGTGTGGATTGATATTTTTTTATTATTTATTTTTCCCCCTTCCAGGCATGAATTGAATTCTCCATATGCATGTCTCAAGCAGTTTTTATGTCAAAGAAATTTTTTTATATTGATTTGTATATTGTAAAGAATTGAAAGGGTATGGGAATTTACTTGCAGGGAGCCAGCCAGGAATTCCTCTTTAGAGAGACGGTCTCTCAGCTGTTGTACCTGCTGCCTGTGCTGAGCTCAATCATTATTTAGGGAACAACAGCAGAGGGGATGGAATGTGTTCGCCTCTTTCTGAATTTCCAGTGATTTCTGTGCCTTTCTAGGTTGCAGTCAAGCAGTCTGAATCAGAGAACTACTGAGCTTGTCAGGACATTTGCCAGCAGATGGTCCACAGAGATGGGGGCTCATGATTTCTTTCTAAGCTTTCTCTGGGATAAAGAGAACTTAGTGTAACTTTTGGATGAACTGAGCTGCTCCTGGACTTTGTAGATTCATATCTATTTCATGGTCTGGAGTTTCTGCTGAACCAGGGGACATGCTTATTGGAAATGCAAGGGTTGATTAGTTGGAAATCTTGAACCCGGGTGATTGCAGATGGTGAGGAAACACAACTGCTGTGTGAATTGTCTGCAAATAAATTCACTGAGTGCCATTACTAGAGCATGCATTTGAGTCATTTTCTAAATATGCTACATTACTTTATTTTATTGGATAACTACTTAGGTCTAAATTGCATTTTATTTCTGACTTCCAGGTAGTGGTGGGAGATAAAGTTGTTCTCATGCCAGTCAATGCAGGACAGCCTCTGCATGCCAGCAACATTGAGCTTCTAGACAACCCTGGCTGCAAAGAGGTGAGTTCAGGAGGGCAGGAGGGGTAGCTGCTGATCTGACATGGTTATAGAAAGGCTGAGGGAATTTGGATTGGTCAGCCTGGAGGAGAGAAGGCTTTGGAATCATCTCACTGTGGCCTTGAGAGCCCATAGGAAAGATGGAGAGAGACTCTTGACAAGGGCCTGGAATGACAGGACAAGAGGGAATGGCTTCACACTGACAGAGAGAAGGTTTAGATTGGATATGAGGAATAAATTGTGCCCTCTGAAGGTGGTGAGGCCCTGACACAGTGTTGTAGGCTCACAGTTTGTGGTAATTGGGAGTGGGGCTGTGGCCAAGCCTCATCCCCAATGGCTACAGCTGTGCAGGACAGGGGTACAGTATTGAAGGCAATGAACCATGGAGTGCCCAGGTGTGCTGACCAATCACCAAAGGGAACAGAGGGCACACAGGTGCAGTGCATGTAAGGTTAAGAGTGTGAAAGGTAGAACATTAAAGGGCTGTGGACGCTTGAAGCTGCCTTTGGTGTCCCTTGTGCCTCCACCATCCTCTCGACAGCACAGGGTGCCCAGAGCAGCTGTGGCTGCCACTGGATGCCTGGCAGTGTCCAAGGCCAGGCTGGATGGGGCTCTGAGCAAGCTGGGATAGTGGAAGGTGGATGGATGGATCCCCTTGGAATGGGATGATCTTTACATCCCTTCCTACCCAGACCATTCTGTGATATGTTGTGCTTTACTGGTAACCCGAACCCACCATGAGCCCACAATGGACTCAAAGCCAGCCTTAAAGACTGGTTCCAGCTTAGCCTCAAAAACCCAAAATGAAATATTTGCTGCAGTGATAACTCTATGAGGTCTCCTTGAGTATCTCACACTCTGACTGAAGTAAGAGTAAATCCTCACTCAGTATCCCTTTGGGGTGTTCTTGGTAGGCTGTCAGCAAACAGAGCAGCATTTCCCCACCCTGTCTTCTCCAACATTACAATCATTAACACTTGAGAGCTTCAGGACCAGTGTTAAGAACTCTACAGATATGCAGCTAAGCCATGTCCCCTACCATCCTAGCTGTGGTGTGGTCTTTCAGAAGAATGGAATGTCTCAAAAAAAAAACCCCTATCCCCATATACTATAATTGGATTTTTTTTTCCTCTAAAGGTAAATGCTGTCAACTGTAACACAAGCTGGAAAATAACTTTGTTCATGAAATTCAGTAGTTACCGAGATGACGTACTGAAAGGAGTAAGTATGATTTTTGAATCCAAAAAGTCTTAGTGCGTTTGACTGTAGAGAAATATTACCCAGTGAATAAAAGAGGAAATAAGGACTTTATGGAGATGTTCCAAGTAACTGTAACAATAACTGTAATAAGACAATGTAGCTTTATGTGCTGAGGTATTGCACAGTTTCATGCCTGTAGATTAATCTCTGAGATAATTTACATTTTCATTTTAGAGATAAGCTTAATTTGTCCTCACATGTACCTTAATAAATTATTATCAATGGCTATTTTTTCAATAGGTGTCAAGGTACCAGCAGTTTTTAAAGAAGAATTTGAAAGGGAAAATGGTATCTTTGTGTAGACCCATTTAAGGATAGTGTTTCAAATCTTGGGGAGAGGCAGGAGGAAACAAAAATGATTCCAGCAGAAGAAATAGAGAGGGGGCGTTGGTGTTGATTGCAGAGTAGAAGTGATAAGATAATACAATGTTAGAAAAATCTCTTCACTTCCCTTAAGTAATAAGAGAGATTAGAAACAAAAAAAAAAAAAAAATCAACTTAGTAAAGTTAACTAGAATTAAAAATCACCTTTAGGTTAATTTTTGCCCACTGTTCATTGTGCTTTCCCAAAAGGCCATGGGTCTCCTGCAGGACTGAATTATCTCATCTGATTTCCAGACTTGGTGCTAAGATTGAATACTCTTCACTTGGTACCTGCTCGCAATAGGAAGCTCAGAAGTATTTTCTTCCTATCAGCTCTGCTGGCATCACTGCAGCAGTTACAAATAGAAAATTACTCTGGAGGCTTTGCCTACCACTTAACAGTGCTTCTTTTCCCTATTTCTTTAGGGAGATGTTGTGAGGCTGTTTCATGCAGAGCAAGAGAAGTTTCTGACCTGTGATGAATATGAGAAGAAACAACACATTTTCCTGCGCACCACGTTACGTCAGTCAGCCACGTCTGCAACAAGTTCTAAAGCACTGTGGGAAATAGAGGTATTTTTTATTTCTCTTTATAAATATTTTAGGACCTGAAGGCCAGGGCTCAGTAAAAATCTTCAGCACAACATGAGTCATTCATAGGCTCCTGATATCATCACACACCTCCCTGTAACTATTATTATTTCATGAAGTGGTTTGTGTAGGATGAACCCTGACGAGCTGCTTTATTGCTCTGTGTGTCTGGAGACAGGAGGCTTTCTTACTATATTTGCCTGCACTGAAATGAGGGAGAGTCAAATTTCAAATTCAGACTTGACGTAAATGGTGTGATTTTACCAAAGCCAATCAAAGGACACTCACCTCTCCTGAGTTTTGAGTGTTTACGTTTAGCTTCATGTGCAGTATAAGAAAATGGAGATCCATGGCTGACAGGAAATCTCCCAAACATCACACAACACATCAACATTTGTTTAAAGTAAACCTGAATAAAGGTGGTGTTGTGAATGAGGGTGGTTTTGAGAAGGGAACTAGCAAACTTTTTTGTTCAACTAAGAAACATTGGAAATTGGTATGTCTCAAATCCTTGCTATTAAGATAATGCAACTCCTATATACCCAAAAGTTCTTGTGTGATGGACAAACTTTGTGTATTTAGAACAGAGTCTTCAGAAAAATGGTTGATTTTTGTCTGGTAAGGATTGTCTGGAGTAGAGATTGTATTGCACCTGTACTTCTTAGAGATTCCTCTTTAAAGGAGACAGACACTGCTAGATTTGAAGAAAGCAAATGAACTACAGTTCAGTCAAGGGATAAAAGAAATAACCTGTGATATTTCAGATGATATGAGATGTCACTAAAAAGCAAAATTTGGCTCATCATGTTTGCAGGGAATAAATTAATGAAAGCATGGAAAGTAATAGAAGGAATATTTCCTGGCACTTGGCAAGAAGTAAATGTAAGTAGTTGTTATCTATGGTGAGCTTCATGTAAGCACAGAATTCCTTTCTTTGGCAGGCTGTAATGATGTTATTTGCATATTTTTATTAGGAGTGAGCTGCAGGAAATGTCAGTGACCTGAAGTATGATCTTGAGGAGCAGGATTAAAATCTAAATTCTTCTTTTAGGTTGTCCACCATGACCCTTGCCGGGGAGGGGCAGGACAGTGGAATAGCTTGTTTAGATTCAAGCATTTGGCAACTGGAAACTACTTGGCTGCAGAGGTAAGAATGCCAGTTAAACAAGTGTTTGTGTGCTGCCTAACCAAGTCCTGCTGGCTCAGAACTGCTGTAGCAGGTGGGTCTGCAGTGTAGATCTTCACAAAGATCCCACACTGGGCCCTTGCTGGGTCATACTGTAGTGCTGCACCCAGGGGTTGCAGGGCAAACACCACTGTTAAATATCCACCATGTTTGTACTGAAAACCCTTGGGCTCATTTAACTCTCTGCTCCTGTTTGCCCTTGATTTTTGGAGTGGTGTTGTGACTGGATTGGGATCATGCAAGTTCATTGTGATTATATAGGCTGCAGGGTTCTGCTATTGCACTCTTGCCTTTTGACTAAAATTTGAATTAAAAAAGTTCTGAGGAAGTCTCTGGCCCTTTTGATGGAATGGAAGGTCCCAGAGGAGAAAGAAGATCTTGCAACTTGTCTGGTTACTATCTGGTACTTTGTATTAAGGCAGAAGAGTATTATGACTCCCCAAAAGAGCAGCTTAATATATTTTAAGACTCCTTAGAAATAAAATATGGCTCTTGACAAGCTGGAATGCAGCAGATAATACCAAGTGTATGAAGTGGTACAGTCTTGGATATTTTAATAACCATTAAAATATCACAGCAAGAAGCTGTGAACTTTTTGAGTCATATCTAATCCATATTAACACAGGTTTGTGTACAAGTTTTATCAATGGAGTTAAAAGTAGGGTTTTTTTTCCACTGATTTAGTTAGGATTACTTATTTTAACTTATGCTTTGAAGTATGAATGCAGAAATTTACTGCAAGAAGAAAGTTATAAATCACTATATGTTAGGGAACCCCTGAAAAAAGACTTGCTCTGACTGGCTTGAGTTAGATTTACAGCCGTGCAACTTCTGTATGCAGACAACTCTTTAGTATTCCCAGGGTGCTGCTTTTGTGTTCCAGCTCCTGTAACAGCCTGCACTGAATTCAGAGGAAGAACAAACAGGAGCTATCAAACTTTCATTTATTTCTAATTATGTCAAGGCCACTATCAAAACATAAACAGTGGACTGCTAATAATAGCTAATTTTCAAGAGGAACCAGTACTCCCACCTGAGAATGGGAGTATTTTCCTTTCTGTTTATAGTGAGGGATGCTCACAGTAGGAAGATTTTGCTAGCTGAGCTGATAGAGAGGCAGGAAAAGCATTGAGCATTCTGATGGGCTTCCTTCTTCCACCAGGGGATCTGTCTGGAGGATTTTTAGGTAAAAAATCTTCAGGTAAAGAGATGCCATGCTGCACTGAATGTCATACCTGAGCTTAGGTCCTTTCTACCTCTGGAAAGGAAGTCCCCATCAGGCAGACTTGTAATATGGAGAATATAATTGGCAACAGTGGAGTGAGAGCTGGAAGAGCTTTTGGGTTGAACAGAGGTGATCTGCTGGGACTGGAGAGCTGCATTAGTGACTGCAGAGCTGCATTGGTGACTGTGTCTGTGAGGTGTAAAATACCTCTGGTGGAGATATTAAAGGTACTGCTGTAATAAAACCCTGTGAACTGTATTTTGCACAGTTCATATGTCAGGCACAACACACCAGCCAGCCAGTCACGTCAAAGATTTATGAACAGGCAGGCAGACACCTCGAGTGTGTGAGCTAACTTTAAATCAATTGGGTAAAGCCTACTGAGCACTTATCTGTGCTCTGGCAGCACAGGGAGATTACTCATGGTATGGATTATCAACAGCGTCACACATTGCCATGACCTGATTTTGTTTAAGCCTCCTTGATAAAGGTATCTAGAGTGGAATAAAAAGTAAAAACACAAGAAGAAAATTCACAAATCTTTTAAGCATTCTATTGTTGGCTAATGATGCAATTTCTGTCACAGTTTGAGCTGTTGTAAATCAGGATTCATCACTGTTCATAACTGTCTTTTTTCTTACTTCATCCTCCCTTAAATCAGCTTGATGCGTGCCATGGAGGCTTGTGCAGGGCAGTCTTGCATGGGTCAACTCTCAGACAAGGAGCAGAAGTGTCCTTCACCTGGGTGCCTCCTTTTTTTCCCTCATACCTTGTGTGAGCAGCCTGTGCCTTCTCTTTTCCTTGGAGTCATCCTGTTCCAGATATAACTGGTCAGTCTAGTCTGGGATTGGTGGGTCACTACTGAGCCTCACTGTGAAGGGGTGCCCCTGCAGCTTGTTAAGGTCAGGGGATAATCTGGGGACTAAGAAAATTGAAGATGCTTGCCTCAGAGAACTAAGGAAATTAAAGCTGATAAAGGTGTTCCAATACCACAGTAAGCAAATTAATAAAAAAAAAAGTGAGGCAGTACCATTGTTCAGTAAAAAAAACATAGGTGAGTACTTGTAAATCTAATTGTTATAAACTTGAGAGAGGATGAAGTCAGGATGTGTAAATCCTAAATTCCATGTTCCTTAGAAGTACAAGAAGTCGTCCAACTTTTGTTGCCTTTCAAAGACCTCTGATATCTCTGACTTCTGACACAATCTCAAGTAGTACTATTTCCTTTAATCCTCTTTCCACTTGGCATTATTTAGCCTAATTTTAATTACTGTGCTTTGAAGTTCTTTAACACCTACTAATACCTTAAAGCAACCTAGATCCTTTTCCCAGACTTTGGGCAGAAGGTGAGCCACCCTGAAAGGCCCACTGCTGAAGGAGTCACAGTGGGAGACTCTTGGTGATTCCACACACCTGCATTGCCTTTCCTCTGCTGCTCTGCACACCCTGGGTCACTCACAGTGTCTGTGTGCTCTCACACAAGTACTTAAGACAGGAGGAATATACTGAAGAAATGGTTTGATGTTTGGTGATAAGATTTGGGACACTGGAAATCTGGGTACTTGGTAATGATGTCTGACATTAGGAAACCTTAAGCCACAGGCTTAGACATTCCCAAAGAAGTGGAACCAAATACTCAGCTGAAAAATTGGAAAGAGAAATTGTCTTCTTTAGAGACAGCAGGAGTTCTGCTGTTAGTGTCATAAGGGCTTGTTTTCACCCAAAAGAGCTGAGCCAGATCTTCAGCAGGAGATTTAGGCACTAAGCCACCAGCTAAGATCCAGGCTGCTGAGTTTCATTCTCAGAACAGAGTTTTATTCTCATCTTCACAGAGTCAGCAGTCTTTCAGAAAAAGTTCTGCTGAAGATCCTTTTTATAGCCCTGGTTACAGGAAAATGACCCAAGTTATTTTGAAGCTTTACATTTATAAAGAGAGGCTGTAAGGTTAGGTGAAAATTGGACGTTTCAAAGTAACAAAGATTTTCCCAAAAGTCTTTTCAGTGCATGTGGCCCATGTAGAAGGCACCCAAAGCCGTCTCTGTGTGTGTGGGAGTGAGCTGCAGTTTGCTTGAATAGCTTTGCAGATGCTGCAGGTTGGGACCACACAGCTGTGCCTTTCTCATGAACACACATAACCTTTTAAATATTTTAAATTGCCAAGATAAAAGTCTCTTTGAACTGAATATCAGCTTATCAATTGTGCTGAACCAAAACATGCACTTTTAATATTGTTCTCCACATTTAGAGCAGCACCGGTTCTGTGATTTCTAAACTGAGCAATTCATACTGAAACCATTAACACTTGTTTTATGAGGCTGTTAAACTGATATATGTGCCCATACACAAGAAATGCAGGATAAGTCTGTCATTTCATACTCAACTTCTCAGGTGTGGCTAAAATAATTACAAAATATATCTGCATCTATCAGATCACGTGCTGATCTCAGATATTGCAGTAGACCATAGATAAGCCACAGTATGCTCCTTATGAAACCTTGTGAACATGTACATAATCTCTGTGAAAAATTGTTTTAGAAAAAAATCAGTGATAATTCTGTTTTACCTAGCTGAATAGATTAGTTACTAGATACCTAGGCCAAAATATGGCAGTAAATCTAGTGAGGTCTTTAACACCAAATTAGCTGAACTAAACTCAATGAATTAAGATAAGGCAGGTAAAATGGCAGCCTGAATGTTCATATTCTGTGTTTCTCCAGAACTGTGGCCATAAACAATTACTGATGTGGAAAACTTCTCTGGCTTTCTTATAGAGTTCTCCTTCCTCTCTCTGTAAGAGTGAAAGGGCAGAGTTTAAGCAGTAATCAATTACAGTAATTAAGTTGGATCAACTCTGATCAGAGTTTTGTTCTAAACTCTGTTCTTAAAATCCTGCATGAAACACCCTTCCAGCTTTAGGACTATTTTAGCACTTAATAGTCTTTTGAAGGTGGGAATGATTGAATTTAGTTGGGCTGAGCAGCACAGGGTTACACACACATGAGATGAAATGACAATTAGATGAATATTAATTAAACAGGAAGTCCAGTCCATCTTGCAAGGAGGTGGTGGTGGAGCACTGCAGTGCCAATACAGGCTTCAGAAATGTCCTTTTTCCTCAGGTATTGGATTGTGCAGACACAAGGTGCTGTCCCTGAGGTGGTGTAGGCTTGGGGAAGAGGGAATAGTCTGTGCTGGAACAGGGTCACTGAGCTAAGGCACCAGAGCATGAGTGTTTTGGGTGGGACTGCTGAAGCTTTGCAGGACTGTCAGCTGATTTTCACCACACTGTGGTGTAAACCACTTGCTGAGAACTCTTGGATCAATGGCCAGTAGAAGTTACTCATATTTCTCTTGTCTTTCTTGAATAATTTCTTTCCATATTACCTGAATCTACTTTTTGGTCAAAATTGCCCCAAGCTGCCCCTTTTCAGAGAAGCTTATGTAGATTATTCACTTTAGATTGAGAATTGATGTTAAATTTTGCTTTTACAGTCCATGGCGGGGGGTTGGCACTAGAGGATTTTTAAGGTCCCTTCCAACCCAAATAATTCTATGATTCTGTGATTGAAAATACTAGCCTTCCATGTTATAGATATTGTTATGGTATGCATTTATTCAGATGGACAGGGCCATGCCCTTCATAGTAAATTTAAGCCTGTTGTAATAATCACTTGATTGGGATCATGGTGGAGATAGCTGAGTATGTACTCAAGCTAATATTGAGAGAAAATAATCC